CACAATGCTCGCCGTCGCCGTAAATGTACTGTACGCGGAGCTCGCCCCTCCAGGTCATTGCCCCCATCGGGTCCAGGAGACAGTGGTGCTGCACCGCAGAGGCGGATGGCATTGGACAAAAGACGCAAGAACACGGTATTATATGTATGAACTACAGCAGTCTACGATATTCGATTTTTTCCGCCGTCCTGCGATTCCGAATGACACGTGATTTCCGCAGGTGTTGCATCTGAAAACACGACGGGGCAGCGACGGGGACGGAATAATGACCACGATGGACAAGAGTGCAGCGTAGTGTACGACCAGTAGGCAAGGCCGACAGAAAGCGTGAGCAGCACTGACAACGCCATGAACCGAACCCGCATCATTTTGACGTGACCAGCAAGCACAGCAGCGAGGGAGGAGTGAACTTCATCTCAGTGTCGACGGCACAACAACTGCTCAGACAACGTTCATGTAGAGTTTGAACAAAGACTTTTGTGTGCAGTCCTTGAGGCTTCGATCCACATCTTGCTCGCATGCCTCCGTCGAAAAGAGTGCCTTCAACGATTTCAGTTTCGACAAAGTCAGCGCCTTTGCACACAAGGCATATATTTGGCGTGCTGCATCGTCCGCCGTGATGAACAGGTGCTCCCGGCGTTCCAGTTCGACGACGCGCAGGTCCACCACACACATCGCAGCTGCGTCCGACCCCATGACTGTTCAACATGCTCGAGAACGATCGATGGCAATGATGGACGGTGGAAAAGCGATGGACGATGATGTGTGTGTGGCAAGTGGGGGCAGAGTGGAGGGGCGGGAAAATCCCGCCGACCAGCACCCTGAGATTCCATTTCCCGAGTATGTTCCACAGTATCAATAGGAAGAGTGACCCACCTGCCAACAAGCTGAGATTACGTTCTTTCGCAACTTTTGCACAATAACTAGGGCAAGTAAGATTCATTTATCAACAAAATTCCTGCAATAATGTGAAAAAAGAAAGATTGATTCATATCTCCGAATTTCATTGAGCGGGGGCGGAACGTTCAGCCGGCCGAAAACCTGCGATTCCATTCTTCCGAAATACTTCGACAATAGCAATAAAAGAAGTGAAAAATAATATTCAAACGAGGTGAAATAGATTCATTTTCTATGTCCGAAATTCATTGAGCGAGGAGGACGGAAAAGCCCCACCAGCCAACACCCTGAGATTTCATTTTCACGGAATGTTTCTACAATATCAATAATAGCAGAAGTGACATTCAATTCTCTAAAGGGAAGAGATATATTTTTCCCTCCGAAAGTCATTCTGTCCAGGGGGGAAAAAGAAGCCCAACCCGCCAATAACCTGTGGTGTCGTTCGTACGAAATATTTGGATGATAGTGTGTGTGTATGTGTGTGTGTTTTTTCGTCCTTTCTCATGGCGACGGTCCCCCCATTTTTCGTGGTGAGACATGGACTACACTCTTTCAGCGGATCTAGGTAGAGTATTACACTTTTCAGTGTATTTTTTCGTACACCTACAACCATCCAGGGTCACACAGGAGGGGGTAAACACCAGGGCTTTTTCTTCTTATTTATTTCTTTTCATGCCCCACCTTCCTCCTGCGGTGCGTGCTGAATGATATTTTATCGCGGGAAGGGTCCAGCCGTCCCTTTCCCTCGTCAACGGTGCTATCGTCGAAGTTCGGTACCCACGAGAGTTTGTCAGCAATATTTCGCTTTCACCCGCATATTTCGTAAATTCTTCACCCGATGGGGATTCGAACTCACGACCCCTGCGACTAGCGGATTACGAGGAAACCACTAGACCACCGGGGCGACCAGTAGTATTAGGCAAGTTGTGAGTGATTTCTCCAAAAAAATATCTATTCCCACAGATATTTGCAGCGAAGGGCTTCAAGCAGAAGTATGGTGTGGATTATCGTGAGACTTTCTCGCCTACTGCAAATAAAATGCTACATCAATCCGTTTGGTATTATGGTAGCATTGGCGTGCAAGTACAACTTGGAATTACTCCGCTTTGACATTGAGCAAGCGTTTGCTCAGTCGGAATTGGATCACGAGGTGTTCATGAAGTTGCCTCCTGGCTGCAAGTCGATGTCATGAAAGATCGTCCGTTTAGACAAGAGTTTGGATGGACTGAGGCAGGCATGTAGAACATTTCTCAAGAGATTTGTGTCGGACCTGAAGAGGATTAGTGTCGAACAATCTCTATCTGACCCCTGTGTTCTGCGTTTCATGATGGGAAACGACGTGAGTGATGGGTATGATCGCGATTCATATGGATGACATTCTGTAAAGAGGAATTGAGAGGCTTGCCAAGATAGTTGTGCAAGCGCTAGGTGTCTCTTTTCACACGAAGAATTTGGGCGAGGTCACGTTCGTTCTTGGTTGCGCATGTAGCCGCGACCGCGAGGCTGGCACGATTGAGATGTCTCAAGAGCGTTGCGTCAGGAGTGCTCTCGAGAGCTTCGATATTGATCGCACCAGCTCGACCCTGATTCCCCTGCTAGTGTTTACAGGTCCGTGATGGAGGAGGAGAAGGCAGGGGATGTGCCGTTCCGAGAGGTGGTGGGGAGTCTGATGTGGATCGCCGACCAGACGAGGCCCGACATCTCCAATGTTGTGCGGGCAGTGGCGAGGTACTCTCACGAGCCAGAGAAAAGCCACTGGAAGGCGGCCCAGACGATTATAAATTGTCCTCTGGGGACGGCACATCTCACCTGAAGTACAAGCAGGACACTATGGCAGGCGTGGGCACGTTGGTGTACGTAGACGCAGACATCGCTAGCAAGGAAACTGACCGTAGATCAGTTTCAGGAGCACTGTTTCTTGTAGCTGACTGTCTTGTTGATTGTATTCTAGGACGCAGAAATGCGCTATACTTACGATGGGTGACGGTGTACAAGAGGCTCTGTTTGTCGACGGAATGCTCGAGTTCTTGAGACCTAGTGATAGAATTGGAAAGATTCAGGTACGAGAGGACAACGAGGGTGCGATTGCACTTGCTGAGAATCCACTTAGCTCGTGAAACAGTATGCACATTGACGTGCAGCGCTACTTCCTTAGGAATTTGACACAGGAGGGAATGTTGGAAATCAGTCATGTCTCTAGCAAAAGACAGCATGCGGACATCCTGACGAAGGCTCTTCCGAGAGATCTTTTTCAAGTTCATCGTCATTTTGGTCTAGGCTCGAGATCTGAGAAAAAGAGGTCTGAGTCGTGTTTCATTTTTTGTTTGTTGTTTTTCTGATGTATATTGGATCTGGTCGAGACAACAGCCCCATGGGAGGGTGTTCGTGATAGTTGCTGCTGTGTGTGTCGACAGAGTAACGTAGAACAGTAGTTTGATTGGACTGTTTGAAGTGCGGGACTGTCGGTGATGGAGATCGCTGAGTAGCCACATATTATCAGAATAGCGAGGAAGGTTCTCTAGAAATGTTCCTCGTGGATGGTGCATTGCCGCGAGAGTTTATATTGTGGATAGTTCATCAGATAGAGGATTCATGGTACGTTGGGAAGTACTTTAGCCCCTGTTCAGTCTTTGTAATCCGATATTATTGTGTTCTGCTTTTGTGCGTTGGTCGAGCGACATGGGTGGTGCTGCGGTGCTGCGGTGCTAGCCCCACCCTCGCTCACTCTACTTTTTGACCTGTTCTCCTGGACCAAGGTCTCATCAATGCAACATCTTTTCCCCAGAAGTCACGAGCTTACCAACACTAAATACTCTCTAGTCGTCGACCGACTAGCCCCCCCCAGGCTCCCCCCTCTCTTCAGCGATCGTGTGGGTGGGCGAGAACATCGATGAATTCCTAGAAGGCACCCCGTGTCTGCTGCTCCTCGGAGCTGCTATCTATCTGAAGCCTCTTCTCTCAAGTACGCGTTGGCTTACCTCTCGCCCAGCGAGAACACACAAACTTTCTGACCTTGTGGTGCTCTTCAACTTCCCCACATCCCTGCTTCTTTCCGAATTCCAACACGCCTCCACAAACCACAGATTCAAAAACGTACTGATTCTTCACGTTAATATTTGCCCAAGAATTCTGGAATATGTTTCTGCAGGCAACAAAGAAAAACCAAGACACAAAACAACCAATTGAGAGGGCAGACAAAGCGCCTTCTTGCTCCCAGCGTTTCTCATCGGACAAACCCGGTCGTAACCTGCCTAGGTTGCCCAACTATTCATATTTCTGTTTTCGGCCTCTGGCCTAAACAGATCTTACTCCGTTAGGCATGTCCGATGCTCTATTCCTCCGTATTCCATACAAGAAACGACAGGCCCCTAAACCCAATCTCTCCCATCCCTCTCACAGAGCGAGGGTCTCCAACACGCGCACACACGGATCAGTCCTCCAAGCGATCCACAACCTTCTGTGCGGTCTGTTGATACCCCGGCCCGATGGTCCGGAAACAGGTTCGTGATCCGACCCTCTTCCCTCTGCGCTCGCGCTGGTCTCGGAGCCCTTCCCTTGTGCACCTGATCTTGTCTCATATAGTACAGCATTACAGTGGGAACACAACTTCGAGGGTCCCCTCATAAGTCGCAAGATATTCACGCATACCGTTGAATAGCCCCGAGATGAGTGACGGGGTAAGAAAATTGGTCATCCAACCCATCTCTTCTTGCCCCGGCAAATACCTTCCATTAAGATGTGACAAGTCAGTGAGTGATGGTCGTGCGTGTCCCGCGCTCCATCTCCTCGCTGTCTCATTTATTTGACATA